TATGTGGCGAATCGAGGAGATCTGGTCTCTTCTATCAAGATCACAAAAATTCCACAATTGGTTCAGCAAGCTGTCCACTGCCAGCAGATGTCATGTGCATGTGTTCCGTGTTTTTCGTTGCTGGTTCAGCTTCCTGGCTTCGCAATGACACCTAAGGCCTGAGCAGCAGGGCACGCAAATTGCATCTCTTTGGAAGCTGGACCTCAGCATGCATTTCGTGCGACGCCAAGATTATAGAGGCAAGCTGACAAACATTGTCTCCGATGCTCGGTTTGTGCTGCCCTTTGATGCCATGACCACAGCCGGCCTGTTCTTTGCAGCTCCTTGTTTCAAGGAGACCCGGTTTAGGCTATACCCCCACCGTGCCCCACCAGTCACAAATCTTTTGACTTGAAATTGAATCATTGAACAGTCACAAGCAAACAAGCTCCTTGCCACACACGCACAAACACTCACAAAACCGGCCTCCTTAATTTCTCTTGGAATAGACCCCTGAATAAGATATCCCATACTTGCAGCCGAGGTTGGTGTTGGGCTTCAGGTCCGCGGGTGCAAGCCACCCCTGCAGCAGGCAGCCCTGGACTGCCTGGAGGTCGTCATGGAAGCTTCTATGCCACGGGACATCGATCTAGATTTACTGCCTGGCTGTCCTGAATGAATCCTGTCAGCAGTTCCAATTCATAAGCAGAACACATTCACAAAAAGCTTTGTATGCCTGATCTAATGCTGCCTATATCTGTAGAGGTCTGGTTCGTGTGCGAAACTACGAAGTCCAACTCGACAGCCTCAGTGATTTCCTGGACTTCACCAACCTCACGCAGAGGCCTCCCCGAAAAAACCCTTATTACTCTGCTTCTTCTGCCTCCTGTTTTCAGGTGGAACTACACCAAGCTCTTCACCAAGGGCCAGCAGAAAATGCAGACAGGCGGCGGTCCCACGTGTATGCAGAGCTGCATGTGCTTCTGCCTGTTGCAGAGGAGGGTTGATTTGGCAACTGAGGCATCAAACTGCACGTTCTCACATGGTTTCTGCTACGTGTTCCCTTCCAAGATAGCTTCCAGGACCAGCTGTCAGTGGCCCAAGCCCAAGCTTCTCAAAACATAACAAGTTTCATTCTTGATGCCAGGACATCAGCTACTCCCGCCTGCAGCGCCGATTGATCCACCGCCTCAGCCAAGCAGCCGAGAAACGCTTCCCTACAGTCCTTGTACCAGAACTACCAGTTCTGCAAGCAGATCACAAGATGCACCCGGCGAAGAAGTGACTAATCAGCAACAGCCACTCTTAATAAGCTTAAGGGGTTTTCGGGGCTATGTTGTCTGGCTGCCGGTCTCATGCTCCTGAATCAGTTCACTGAAATCTTGCAATCCGAGGGACGGCCGACTGCTGCGGTTGGAAGCAAAACCGAGGAGCCAGATGTGCCTTGAGAGATTCCTGAGCAGGGGAGGAGGATTGGTGGCGGCGACGCCCGACCAATGCCTGCTCAACATGGACTTGAAAGGGGTGCTCCCAGTCCACTACAGCAGGACTGTACTACCTGTACGGTTGCAGTGTCTTCTTGTTTGTTCAGGCATGTTCTGCTCAAGTCTTGTGGAACCCCCACCCGCAGGACTATCGCCGACTTCTACTTCAGATACATCCGGAAAACCAGCGAGGTTTTGGGACAGGCCAGACTCGCTGCTGCTTCGAAACAGACAGACATGTACATACAGGGACAACAAGGGCGAGAGTCAGAGAGGGCAACCCAGACTCACGCACGCACACCCACCCACAAACCCCCTAAACCCCCTAAGCCCTAAAAAAATCTAAACACCGAAAGCTCTAAACCCTTTTAAATTAACCCGAGAAAGACCCCTAAGCCCTCAACCCTAAACCCTGCACAAACTCCACATCAGAACACGTTCAGAAGATCCCCAAATGACCCAGAACCGCAAGAATCGCCGCAACCTTGACAATAATTACCTATCCATACCATCAGGCAGGCTATGGATGAGGAGGAGTGCCGGGG